CGTGAGTGTGGTGCTGTCGCGAAAGAAGGAGCGGGAAGCACCTGAGTCAAGTGTGAAGGTGTACACGGCCTCAGCAGGCGCAGTACCAGAGAGAGCAGACTCACCAGCACCTGGAGCAGCAGCCTCACCAGTACCTAGAGCAGGAGACGCACTAGCACCTAGAGCAGCAGCCTCACCATCACCTAGTGCAGTAGACGCACTAGCACCTAGAGCAGCAGCCTCTATACCTGGGTCAGGCGGTACGCACAGGGAACAGGCACGGTCATCACTAGTAGGCAATGCATACATGGCAGTGAGAATAGCATCATAGTCAAGAGCAAAAATATCTACCCCCTGCCCAAGTAGCTCCAGCCAGGTGGGGAGCTCAGCCTCGTCACCAAACTCGGTGCGCCAGTCGTCACTCAGACGGGCGAAGCAGCGGGACTGGGTGTGACCAAGTGTCCCGCAAGCCTGACCAGTCCGATCACCTGTGCGTGGGACGTACGGGCAGCGAACGGTACTCCGAGACCCTCGACTATGAGCGTACCACTCGTGAAGCTGCCGGGACGTAAGTGTCTCGCGCGGACGCCGCTGCAGCTACAGCTGGCCACTGCCAGACGCTCCCGACCGACCAGCTCCAGGGCGACAGTCACGACGGCTACCGCCACAACCCCAACTAGCGTACCACTCACGAAGCTGCTGAGGCGTGAGAGACTCGCGCGGGCGTCGCTGGAGCTGCATCTGGCCCCCGCCAGTAGCAACAGTAGCAACAGTAGCAGCAGCAGCTCGGGCAGGGCAGGCGCGGTAGGAGCGGCAAGCAGGCAGGCAGGTAGATAGGCAGGCAGAGGGCGCTGCAGTGCGCGAACAAGGCAGGTGCTCACCAGTGGCGGGCAGGGCCGGCGCTCGGCGGGCGGCGGCAGGGTAGGCGCACGACGGCGGCGACGGCGGGGCCGTAGCAGTAGCTGCAGAGTAGGGCCACGGCAGCTGCAGGGCGGGGCCGCGTCAGCTGCAGGGCGGGGCCGCGGCAGCGGCAGGTCGGGGCCGCGTCCACTGCAGGGCGGGGCCGCGTCAGCGGCAGGTCGTGTCGGCAGCAGGGCGCGGCCGCGTCAGGGGCAGGTGGGTCGCGGCGCGCGGGGCTGCAGTGCGACGCGCGGGCAGCGGCCGCGGCGCGCGGGGCTGCAGCGCGACGCGCGGGCAGCGCGCGCGGCGCGTGGGGCTGCAGCGCGACGCGCGAGCAGCGGTCGCGGCGCGCGGGGCTGCAGCGCGACGCGCGGGCAGCTGTCGCGGCGCGCGGGGCTGTAGCGCGACGCGCGGGCAGCTGTCGCGACGCGCGGGGCTGCAACGCGCCGCGCGGGCTGCAGACGCGGCGCGCGAAGCAGCAGCGAGCCGCGCGCGGGCTGCCGAGGCGCGACTCGGGCAGGGTGGGCGACTCGTGGGGCAAAAAACGAGCCGCGCGCAGGAATTAGGTCTGCGCGCTCTAAGCAGCAGCAGATCGCACAGTCAGCAGATAGTAGGCAGCAAGCAGACGGCGCGCGCAGCGCAGCACGTCACAGGCACAGTCAATCACAGTCACAGTCGTGGGGTAGCGGTAGGTGGGCCCGAAAAAAAAAAAACGGTCCTACGGACCTATTGCTCTGAAACCATGTCAGAATCAAGAGACAGGAATGAATTAACTATCACAGAGTTGGGTACAAGTATGAAACCCTAAAAGGGGTTGTACCCCATATTGGCTACCCCACTACAGCCTACACATGTATAACAAGCATATGCTTTGACAAAAGTGACCACGAACAACACCCGTGTGGCATGTCTGATGATGATGACTAAGAATGTTATTGTGTGCTCTGTTAATAACAATTTCAGCAGGGTTTGAAATATTTGTACACTGATGCCCCAGGATTGAATTTTTTAAACAAGCAGAAACCCTGATGGAAAATGTTTCTCACAAGGGGTCACACTGATAACCAGGGTTTTGAACATGTGCAACACTGATCGTAAGGGTTGCTAAAAACAAAAAATTAGCCCTGGACACGGTCCAAGTTCCAACTGGCCATTGATTGAACAAGGGCCCTTGATAGAATTGATCCGGCCAGAGGATCTGACGTTGTAGATGCTTGTTACAGGTACGCATGATATAGCAACAGACATGACTGTCCCCATGGTGGATGCTCGTTACAGGTATATCCACGTACGTGAGACGTTACACGTTACAACACACATGCCTGCCGATGGTCGGTGTCAAAATAGCTAAAGCAAGTTAGGCTTAGGAGCCATGGTTTGAGTAGCTTAGGAACTTAGGTTTTAGGGTTGAAGAAGAGTAGCGAGAAGTTTGCCAAAGCAAAGAGAGAAAGGTGATTCACTAATAAGCAAGATACAAGATATAGTGGAAGGGACAAGGGAATGAGGTGCACCACCAATGTAACACTACACTAACTACTGCTACAAGCAGTTTATATAAGAAATATATTTCAGCACACCCCCTAAACTGCTTGCAGCAGGAAGCTAATGCAGAGACACCCCCTGAAGGGGTACACCAAGCGCAGCAGAAGGAGAGGGCAAGTGAGGAGGAGGAGGGACTATGAGAGGAGAGGAGGTAGGAGGCGGCAGCTGAAGCTGCTGGCACACGGGCGACTGGAGCAACTGGCACACAGGCTACCGGAGCAAGGGCATCCGGACTACTGGAGTAACTGGCTCCGCAGCTAGACGAGCGGCTGGAGCAACTGACCCACGGGCGACTGGAGCAACGAGCTCACGGGCTACCGGAGCAACGGCATCCGGACTACTGGAGCTGCTGGCTTCATGGCGGCGACCTCCTTTCAACCTCCCCCCATTGTCCCACACCCCCTTTCCACACCCCCTTCTGCATCCCTAGCGCCACTCCCTCGGCTCCCCCACACCTTCCCCCCCTCAGCGGCAGCTGCAGCAGTGGGAGAGAGAGGAGGAGCAGCAGATTACTCACACCCGCCACCCCCATACCCGCCACCCCCATACCCTCCCCCCCACGGTTGCACGCGCAGCAGGGAGAGGAAGGAGAAGGGGGGGGGGCGGGGGGGGGGGGGGGGGGGCGGTGAAGAAGCTGCCCCGCAGCTACAGAGGGGCGGCGCGCGGGTGCACGGGGCGGCGCGCGGGTGCCACGGGGCGGCGCGCGGGTGCACCGGGGCGGCGCGCGGGTGCACGGGGCGGCGCGCAGGTGCACCGGGGCGGCGCGCGGGTGCAGCGGGGCGGCGCGCGGGTGAACGGGGCGGCGCACGGTTGCCACGGGGCCGGGCGCGGGTGCCACGGGGCGGCGCACGGGTGTAAGCAAACCGTCGCGCGCCCAGGGCGCGCGACGGGCAGAAAACCGCCGCGCGCCCGGGGCGCGTGGTGGGCAGAAAACGTCGCGCGCCCGGGGCGCGCGACAGGCAGGAAAATAGTCACGCGCCCGGGGCGCGCGACTGAAAGAACAGCAGCGGAAGCGAACAGTGGGCCCATTGAGAAAGGCCCTAGGAAAGTAACCACTCTGATAGCATGTAAAAATAGCTAAAGCAAGTTAGGCTTAGGAGCCATGGTTTGAGTAGCTTGGGAACTTAGGTTTTAGGGTTGAAGAAGAGTAGCGAGAAGTTTGCCAAAGCAAAGAGCGAAAGGTGATTCACTAATGAGCAAGATACCGGTACAAGTTATAGTGGAAGGGACAAGGGAATGAGGTGCACCACCAATGTAACACTACACTAACTACTGCTACAAGCAGTTTATATAATAAATCTATTTCAACAGTCGGTAGCTGGGGAAACATAGCTCTACGTGAGACAGTGTTGCAACTTGCAACGTGTAAGACGGTGTTTCCATACACCGGCTTATCTCCCCAGATGACTTGCACCAGCTGTGGTTGGCATTTCTGGCAGATGGAATTGCGTGGTTTTCTTCTGCACTGTATCTACCGTAACAGCGTTTAGTGGTTACCTTGCAGCAAGGTCCAAGGTGTACACGCATTGGTTTGATGAAATAGCACATTATATATTTAATAGCAGCCCACCAACAAGGAATCCTATACAAAGAGCCTGGTATAATCAGCCCACCAGCAACGAGATTTTGGACCTAAGGAATGATCACTAAATCCAAAGGGAGAAAAGGGGGGGGAAGGAGGGTGGGAGGAAAGCAGAATCGGAAAGAGGGGAGGAACAGAATGGGGTTGTACGGTATCTATCGACGGCCGGCCTGGCATCATCTGATCCGGGGATCGCCTCCAAACAGCGGCAATAGTACACTCTAGTACGGTAGATCTGTGCAGATATGCAGCAGCAACGACGCAGAGCGAGAGCAAGGCGAGGCGCACATGTTGCCTTGCTCAGCTGTGCTCAGCTGTGCTTTGCCTCGGCTTGTTTGAAGGGCGATCCACTCGGCACATGATGGCAGGCCCCCGTGAGTGGGGGAGCGGGAGTGAGTGAGTGAGTGTGGGAGTGAGTGTGGGAGTGAGTGTGGGAGTGAGTGGGGGGTGCGTGAGTGAGTGAGTGTGGGAGTGAGCGAGTGAGTGGGGTAGTGCTTGAGTGAGTGCAGGATTGGCTTTGCAAGTGGGTGAGTGAGCGAGTGGGCGAGTGAGCGAGTGAGTGGCGAGTGAGTGAGTGCACGAGTGAGGGCACGAATGAATGCGGAAGGTGAACCAAATGTGTGGAATGAATGGGGTGGAGTAATGGGTGGGCTGCGGAGGAAACAAGTCTGTCTCCAGCCACACTCGCAAATGACCGAGTAGTTGAACGATGAGTGGTTGGATGAGTTAAGCGAGTGGACGAACGAGTGAGTGAGTGAGTGGTACCAAACCTCCTCCTGAGACACAGTTGGTCGTGTTCCGTGAAGCTCCCTCTTTGCATGAGATGACTCTCAGGTGCGGTTGACTCAGGTGCGGTTGACTCAGGTGCGGTTGACTCAGGTGCGGTTGACTCAGGTGCGGTTGACGCAGGTGCAGTTGACTCAGGTGCAACCCAGATGCAGTTGACTCTAATGAAGTTGACTCAGGCCTTAACATGTCCCCAATGCTCACATACTTCTCAGATGTTCCACATCACATCTGCCTCCTGCTGCCACGTGTCCCCCATGCCCATGTCATCCCCTACCAGCTCCATCACCAAAGGACTACCCTGCTCCCCCATTGGGTACCGCACTTCACCCATCCCCATCCATGTGACCATGCCCACGCCCATGCTTGTCCCCACGCCCAGGCCTATGGTAGGCCCGATGCTGAAGTTCCTCATATAAGGGCTGAAGCTCCTGGGAGACATGCCTGCTATGCCTGCCATACCTGCTGCGCCTCCAATTCCTCCTGAGCCTGCTGCACCGCTGCTGATTCGCGGGCTCTGAGAGGCTTCCCTCAATCTTTGACTGCTCATGCCCATGGTGCCAGCAGTGGCGACGGTGGCAGTGGCACCCGCAGCAGTAGCAGCAATTAGCGGCATATCAGCACCTGCCAGAGTTGCCGTGCCTCCTCTTTCTGCTGCTGCTGCTCCTGCAGCTGGTGGTGGTGCAGTGCCAGCAGCACCAATAGAACCAGCACCAGCAACACCAGCACCAGCAGCACCAGCAGCACCAGCAGCAGCAGCATGGTACACACTACCATGTGACAACCGATCAACTTTCACATCCCGAATCAGCTCCGCTCCTCCACCCTTCACCTCCACCTCCTCTTCTCCCTCCGCCTCTCCCTCCCCCTCCCCTCCTCCCCCTTCCTCTTCCTCCTCCTCCACACCCTTAGCAGTAAAATCCAACGCCAACACCCCTTCCATCTTCACTTCTCCTCCCACCCTCCCCTTTCCACGCTCTCCCTCCCATTCCCCCGCACCTCGTTCCCCCTCATCTCCTCCTCCCTCTCCTGCTGCTACAATCCCCGCCACGCCGCTGCCACACGTTTTCAAGTGAAGCTCTGGGAACAGGTGAGTCAGCTCTTCCTCCTTGCACCCCCCTCCTCCCTGCATCAATCCGCTTGGGTATTCTGCAACGGGGTTCAACCCACGGCCGTTGCCGGCATTAGCTGGTGGGCATTGAGTCCACTCAAAAGCAGTGCCAGTACCAACAGCGGTACCACCAGCAGCAGCAGCAGCAGCAGCAGAAACAGCACCAGAAGCACCAGCAGCACCTGCAGCACCGGCAGCACCAGCACTGGCACTGGCACTGCTCTGGCTCTCGCTCCTGCTGCCACTGCGCCGCCCGCTGCCGTTGCTGCTCGTCGTGCGCCCACTCGTGGTGTCACTGCTTGCACTCTTGCTTCGCACTCTCCGGTACGCTCCCGCCATGGGGTTACTATTGCCGTTGCTGCTGCCATTGGCATTGGTGGTCGCACTAGTTGGGTCCATTTTCATGCTGATGTTGCCGGTAAACGCTGTCCCTTGCTGCTCCTGCGCCTCCTGAAACTGCTGCTGCTGCACGAAGAGTTCCTGGTTCTCTTGCTTGCAAAACTGCTGCTGCTGTTGGTGCTGCTGTGCATAGTATGCCTCCGCGTCGCCATCTGTGGCAGCTACAGCAGCAGCGGAAGGCACTTCCATCGCATCAGGCAGTAAAGTGGCGACAACAGCAGGCAGGGGAGCAGCAACACCAGCTACATCTCCTTCGCTTATTCCTGCAGCACCAGCAACAGCAGCAGCAGCACCAGCAGTAACAGAACCAATAGCCTGGAAGCCACTGGGGTTACTCCACTGAGGCAGTTGACCCTCGGGCAGGGGAGTAGCAGCGTCGGGCAGGAGAGTAGCAGCGTCGGGCAGGAGAGTAGCAGCGTCGGGCAGGAGAGTAGCAGCATCGGGCAGGAGAGCAGCAACAGCGGCTACATCTCCAACGTTGATTCCTGCACCAGCACCAGCAGCACCACCACCACCAGCAACAACAGCACCAGCGTTAGCCGCAGCAGCAGCAGCAGCAGCATCAAAGCCAGTGAAATCGACAGCAGCATGGTTAACACGTGGCAGTGGGGCCACTGCAGCAAAGCCATCAGAAGCCATTGACACTCCCATTGACACTCCCATTGACACTCTACCCACTGCCTCTCCCTCTCCTTGTGCCCCTGCCCTTGCCTCTGCTTCTGCCTCTGCCCCTGTCTCTCCCTGTGCATTCTCCAACTTAACTACACCCACCATTGCTGCCGCTTCTGCCCCCACTGCTGCTGCGCCAACCTCCACAGGCGCAGACGTTCCCCCGGGCATTCCGCCAGCCATTCCGCCAGGCGTTACCCCAGGGGCGGGGACTGTGCCCCCCGCGCCCGCCCCCCCCGCTCCTCCCGCCGCCAGCGCCGCCGCCGTCGCCGCCGCGCTCGGCCGAATCGCGAGCCCCGCCGCCTCCGCGGCCTCCCAAACGATCTCGTCGGGTTTCAATCCCAGCACGCGCGCCGCCTCCTTACTCGCGCGCAGCAGCGCTTCCGCCGTCGCGGACGGCAGCGGAACCGTCGCGTAGCTGTTCGGGAAGTTGAGGCTCGCGCGCCGTCCGCGGAGCAGGCGCGCGGCGGTGTCGTACGCGCGCGCCGCGTCTTCCGCCGTGTCGTATGACCCCAGCCAAATGCGCGAGCGCTTGCGCGGCTCGCGGATCTCCGACACCCACTTCCCCCAGCGCCGCTGGCGCACGCCCTTGTATTGTGGCGTGCGCTGCGTGAAGGCGCAAGATCCGGGCGCGTTGGGCGCGGAAGACGCCATGCCCGCGGAGAACGGCGGGCGCGGAGCGGAGGACATTGGCGACGCGGGGAACGGGCCGCGCGGAGAGATGGGGAGCGGGATCGAGACGCAGTGGGGCGGCGGAGATTGCTGCGGGAACGCGCGCGCGAATCCCGCGGGAAGGTACTGCGCTGCGCCTGCCGCGGGCATCGGCGCGGAAACCGGCGAGAAGCCGTGAATGATGGGGTGATGCACGACGGTCTGCGACGCGGGCGACGCGGGCGATATGGGCGACATGGGCGACGACGGAAGCGCGCATGATGCGGCGAACGCGCCGACGGGCGACGTGGGGCTCTGCAGCGGCGGAAGATGCGACGACGGCGTGTGCGGGAGCGCCGCCATATAATCGCTCGGCGCGCCGAACACTCCCCCCGCCACAATCCCACCCTCGTTATTAGTATAGCCGTCGTTATAATAAAAGTCCCCGCCGCCAGCGCCCCCGCCAGCGCCTGCGCCTGCGCCGGCAGGAAGCAGCCCTTCCGCCGTCGTAATCACAGTTGGAGCGGGGCGAATAAGGCCCGCGCCGCCCGCACCACCACGCGCGTAACCAGCCGCACCGGCACCACCGGCACCAGCAGCAGCGGGAGCAGATGATCCTCCGGCGTGGTTTGCTCCTAGCCTGATTCTCTTTGTCGGCGGAGGCATTCCCGATGCCGCGCTGCTGTTGCTGCCACCGCCGCCGCCGCCGCCGCTGGTTGTGGCCACGAGCGCTGCTAGCAGCAGGTGCAGCGCCGCGACCGTGCCGCTATCGGCGCCGGCAGTCGCGGCGTCGAATGCGCTAGCAGCAAAGCTTCTCTTCTGCTGCAGCAGCTGCTGCTGCTGCTGCTGCTGCTGCTGCTGCTGCTGCTGCTGCTGCTGCTGCTGCTGCTGCTGCTGCTGCTGCTGCTGCTGCTGCTGCTGCTGCTGCTGCTGCTGCTGCTGCTGCTGCTGCTGCTGCTGCTGCTGCTGCTGCTGCTGCTGCTGCTGCTGCTGCTGCTGCTGCTGCTGCTGCTGCTGCTGCTGCTGCTGCTGCTGCTGCTGCTGCTGCTGCTGCTGCTGCTGCTGCTGCTGCTGCTGCTGCTGCTGCTGCTGCTGCTGCTGCTGCTGCTGCTGCTGCTGCTGCTGCTGCTGCTGCTGCTGCTGCTGCTGCTGCTGCTGCTGCTGCTGCTGCTGCTGCTGCTGCTGCTGCTGCTGCTGCTGCTGCTGCTGCTGCTGCTGCTGCTGCTGCTGCTGCTGCTGCTGCTGCTGCTGCTGCTGCTGCTGCTGCTGCTGCTGCTGCTGCTGCTGCTGCTGCTGCTGCTGCTGCTGCTGCTGCTGCTGCTGCTGCTGCTGCTGCTGCTGCTGCTGCTGCTGCTGCTGCTGCTGCTGCTGCTGCTGCTGCTGCTGCTGCTGCTGCTGCTGCTGCTGCTGCTGCTGCTGCTGCTGCTGCTGCTGCTGCTGCTGCTGCTGCTGCTGCTGCTGCTGCTGCTGCTGCTGCTGCTGCTGCTGCTGCTGCTGCTGCTGCTGCTGCTGCTGCTGCTGCTGCTGCTGCTGCTGCTGCTGCTGCGCCGTCTGCTGCTGCTGCCTCGGCGGTCGGACGTTCGTCCCCTCATACAAGCCGTTCAGCGCCGCCGAGCCCGGCGGGACCGGAGCCGGCGCAGCCGCCGATGCGCGCGGCGGAGGCGGCGACGCGCGGCTGCTGCTGCTGCTGCTCGGCGGGGTAGGCGCCACGGGGGTTGCGACAGTCGGATCAGCAGCAGCCACCATAGTAGTCGTAGAGTCTAGACCGAGATCCCGACGGAGGCTCATAAATAAAGCCGCTTGTTCGTCCTCCCATGGCGCGGCCGCAGGTTGCGGCGGCGGTTGTTCGCGCTGCCGCAGATTGTTCAGCGGCGGACCTTGCGCCGCGAATCGCGCTGCGGTAGCCGCATGCTGCCCTGAGAGGGGAAGATTATCCATTGCAGGAGGCATCCCCTGACTCGCCGCCGCCAATTGCGCTGGCGCCGGCGGCGGCGGCGGCAGCGGAGCAAGTTGTTCCGGTGACGGCTGCTGCTGCTGCTGCTGCTTCTTGGCGAGTATGGAAGAGGCGAGGAGAGGTAAGAGGTTGCTGAGAGCACTCGCGGCTCGCTCCCTCGCAGTAGCAGTCGCAGCAGCAGCGGCGGTACTAGCTGCGGTAGCAGCAGCGGAATTCCACGACGATCCTCGCTGCTGCTCCTGATAAGCCTCCAGCTGCTGCTGCTCCTGATACGCCTCCAGCTGCTGCTGCTCGTATCGCTGCTGCGCGGCCTGCTGCTGCGCCGCCAGATGCTGCTGCGCCTGCTGCTCCACTTGCTGCTGCGCGTGCTGCGCCTGCTGCTCGCTCCGCTGCTGCTGCTGCTCGTACCGCTGCTGCGCGGCCTGCTGCTGCGCCGCCAGATGCTGCTGCGCCTGCTGCTCCACTTGCTGCTGCGCGTGCTGCGCCTGCTGCTCGCTCCGCTGCTGCTGCTGCTGCCGCAGCAGCGTCGCCTGCTGATGCTCGAAGTAGTTCCCGCCCGCAGCAGCACCCGTCCCTCCCGCCACCGCTGCGAACATCCGCGCATCAACACCTGCCGTTGCGCCAGCCTCCGCTTCCACAGCCGCTGGCGCGGGTCCACCCCCGCCACCCATAGCACCATCGCTGGCGCCGCCGCCGCCGCCGCCACCGCCGCCTACGTTGGGCACAAAATCAGAGACGAATTGTTGATGCTGCAGCTGCTGCTGGTGCTCGAACGAGCGGTTCGGGTAAGTCGCTGCTTCGCCTGCTTCGGCTGGCGTCATAAGTGAGTCAGAATTGACAAATCCCGGCGTCGCACCGTCAACGACGGGGGCGACGGTTTGGTGGTGCGCGCCGCCCCCGGTGTACGGCTGCTGCTCCGTAGGATGCGGCGGCGTAGGAGGCAGCAGTTCCCCAGCGGGAAAAAACGTGTGATTATTACAATTATTATTATTATCGTTAATATTGTTATGATTGTAATCAACAGCCGACAGAACCGCAGCGCCGCTGGCGTCAACTTGCTGCAGTTCTTGGCCCGCTGCCGCCGCCGCCGGTCCTGCCGCTAGAACCCCCTGGCCGCCGGCGTGATTATCAGCAAAATGAGTCACCACATAATGAGGCTGATTCGGATTGCAGGCGGACCAGGGTTCTCCAGCCGAATCGCCTTGAGACGAGCTGATGATTCGCTGCTCTACCGCCATAGTCGCGTCCATCCGAGATGTCGCCACGAGCTGCGGCGAGTTGTGGCTCGTCGCCGCAAATGCTCCGCTTCTCCGCTTCGTTTCACAGCGAATTTAAGTATTGGGTGCGGATTCCGCGGGGTGCGCCTTTACTTTTCATGTACCAGTGTCACACGGGGAAACGCAGGGATTGTAACGCATGCTTGACGGAGGGATGATCGCCTTCCGACCGCCGCGAATAACGGCGTAGAACTTTTGAGTCAGAGAGAGCCACGCGGCACGGTGCTGCGACTACAACTTGCACGAAGAGTAATTAACCGACACCACAGCTACGACTGCTACCACTAATAAATCCGTGAGCTACTATGCTCGATTTAGGACTCCGACGAGCGGTCATGGAACGAGGAAACGGAATTTGAACGAAGCCTGCGAGCTTGTCTTTATGCGATGTAAATGAGAATTTCCGTTCCGAGTTGTCGGCGGCGAGTGCTGGGGAATTGATACGCGAAGCGGGCAGAGCAGCGCAGGAGGGAGGGAGCAGGACGACGACTTGTCGAGGCAGCCCAGCCCATATGGCCTTTCGTCCAAGATCCGATCCTCGCAATCATCGGATGGGGACAGCGCTTCCCTTCTCCCTCACTCTCCGTTTCCGCTTTCCCCCTTCTCACGCACTCTCTCGCGCTCCCCTCCCCCTCTGTCGTTCTGCGGGTGTTAGTGTGTGTGACTCCCGGCTGGGTCCTTGCCTTGCCACGCAACGGGAGCGCGAGGAACTATTGCAGCACGCAGAACACTACAGTACTAGGAGGGTTCCTAGTTGTGTGTCTTGACTCTCGAGCCACCTTCACCATCCCCCCCCTTCCCCGCGCCCGCTACCGTAGCGGCAAACCCTCTGCGCCCATGCGTCCATGCGCGCATGCGCCCAAGATGCGCCGCTGCGCATCCCATCCGGACCAGATCCCGCCGTGTCGCGTGGGACCATCGAGGGCGGACCGGAAGCGTTGTGCGCCGGGGAAAGGGGTGGGCTTCATTCATTCGCTTGTTCGCGAATCCAGCGCAACAAATACAGAAAGGACTGTCTTGCAATGAGGAGATGCGGCGCGGATGACGAGAGAGGCCCAAGAAACAGAAAACGAGTAACGGAACCCACACTACTTTCTGCTTCTTGCGCCATGCGCCGAGTTTGTTTGCGGTCAGTGATGGGGAGGGGAGGGCAAAGCGGGGCTGCTGCTGGCAGGGCAGCCCATGTGCGTGAGGAAGGGGATGGGCGGTGGGGCATTGTAGCCCTTGCCATGTGTGAAGAGCCGCGCAAATGCCAGCAGATTTTCTCCGCGCAGTAGGGGCGAGCGGGCACTGTAGGCGGGAGCACGGCAGGGGGGATGGCAGAGGACGGGTGGGGGGGAGGATGGAGTGGCAGGGGAATTGCGCGTGGCTGTGCGCGTGCGCGGGAACTATTTGGCGCGTATTGTGCAGTTTGCAGTCACTCGCGGAGCCAATCAAGCAAACTCTGACTTGCGGAAATGAGTCGGGCAGGGAAATACTCTGGTCATTCCATGGTCAAACTTAGGTTGCCCCATCACATGTTCGAATCTCAACTTCACATCCAGGATTCATTCGTGATCACCACCCTATAACATCCCCACATTCGAGTAGAACCAGTGGATACTACAAAATGGTTTTAAAAACCGGGAATTCAGGGTTGCAAAACGAAGTCTCCCAAAACCCGTGGGACTTGAGTGAAGTTGTCGGCGCTAGTTGTTGCTGCTGGCTGATCGATTAGAGAAAACGACCCGAATGAATAAGCCGAAGGGTGCTTCTGATTAGCATGGAGCCAAAATAAGGCTTGTGGGCATCGCAGCACACTCAAACGGAGACAGACACGAAAGCAACGCCAATGGCTGTAACACCGCCAAAATTACAGCCACTGGACAAGATTCCACCACCGACACACTGACCTGCAGCTCCACTTATTATTGATTCGGTTGCTTGTTCAGATGTTACTCTTTGACTGAAACCGCAATAAGAATTCGACGACCTCTCGTTTTAGCAACGCTAAACATTTTGGAGAACTCTCCATCGCATCACTATGCCTAACAGCCCCTTTTTTCCACGACCCGTCAAACTGGAGTCCTTCCAACGCTTTCCCTCCTTTCAATCATCGCCGAGAGTCCGAATCATTTACACCCGAAAATCATGTGCAAACACCGGCAACCTACCCTTTCCCGGGTTCCAACATTGCGTGTTCTGACAAAAACGGAATCCCTCCTTCGAACGTAACGGGCGCCCTTTGGGATCTGGTTCTTCGAGAACCTTGGACTGCAAAGCTCTTCGTCAGCAGAATGTTTAGCGGCAACGACTCTACGTCAACGTAGGGGTCAACATAAACTGCTGACCGTGTCGACTCCTACTCTTCAACGGTTAACAGCACAAAACCTCCAATTGCCGACATTCTTCCACCGTTTCTCAGCGTTAGTGTGACCTACGCAGACCTAGCAGAACATGTCAACACCAGTTATAAGGTTTTCTATAAAGAGTGTTTAGGGTCTGAGATTTTCATAATTCACTTCCTGCAAATTCAACCATTCTTACACCACAATTTTGGTACGGGTTGTTTCCACGTTAGTTCCTTATTGGTATGACTTGCATAATCTTCGTGTTCACACTTTGTTCGTTGAACTGAGGTAAAGCACTTGAATACCGTATTGGAATGCAGCGTGTGTGTGTGTGTGTGTGTGTGTGTGTGTGTGTGTGTGTGTGTGTGTGTGTGTGTGTGTGTGTGTGTGTGTGTGTGTGTGTGTGTGTGTGTGTGTGTGTGTGTGTGTGTGTGTGTGTGTGTGTGTGTGTGTGTGTGTGTGTGTGTGTGTGTGTGTGTGTGTGTGTGTGTGTGTGTGTGTGTGTGTGTGTGTGTGTGTGTGTGTGTGTGTGTGTGTGTGTGTGTGTGTGTGTGTGTGTGTGTGTGTGTGTGTGTGTGTGTGTGTGTGTGTGTGTGTGTGTGTGTGTGTGTGTGTGTGTGTGTGTGTGTGTGTGTGTGTGTGTGTGTGTGTGTGTGTGTGTGTGTGTGTGTGTGTGTGTGTGTGTGTGTGTGTGTGTGTGTGTGTGTGTGTGTGTGTGTGTGTGTGTGTGTGTGTGTGTGTGTGTGTGTGTGTGTGTGTGTGTGTGTGTGTGTGTGTGTGTGTGTGTGTGTGTGTGTGTGTGTGTGTGTGTGTGTGTGTGTGTGTGTGTGTGTGTGTGTGTGTGTGTGTGTGTGTGTGTGTGTGTGTGTGTGTGTGTGTGTGTGTGTGTGTGTGTGTGTGTGTGTGTGTGTGTGTGTGTGTGTGTGTGTGTGTGTGTGTGTGTGTGTGTGTGTGTGTGTGTGTGTGTGTGTGTGTGTGTGTGTGTGTGTGTGTGTGTGTGTGTGTGTGTGTGTGTGTGTGTGTGTGTGTGTGTGTGTGTGTGTGTGTGTGTGTGTGTGTGTGTGTGTGTGTGTGTGTGTGTGTGTGTGTGTGTGTGTGTGTGTGTGTGTGTGTGTGTGTGTGTGTGTGTGTGTGTGTGTGTGTGTGTGTGTGTGTGTGTGTGTGTGTGTGTGTGTGTGTGTGTGTGTGTGTGTGTGTGTGTGTGTGTGTGTGTGTGTGTGTGTGTGT